CCCATCGCGCACACATCAGAGCTCCATGACAGATCACAGACTTGCATGATACACACACCACACACCCATCACACAAACATCACATGCACACCCATCAGACACACACACCTATCACACACACACACACCGCCCATCACACACGCACACCCCCACCACACACATCACACACACACCCATCACACACACACACAACACACCCCACCACACACATCACATCACACACGCACCCATCACACACACACACCCATCACATCACACCCATCACCCCCACCACACCCATCACAGACACACACACACATCACACCCTCGCAACACACACACCCACGACCCCCCCCCCGGCACCGCAGTGCGGCATGGGAGTGGTCACCTTGCAGGCAGCTGTGGCCGAACTTGCCGGGCTCGCACTGCTGGCACGCGCGCCCCGTGTAGCCCTCCTGGCACGCGCACGCACCGGTGCCGTTGAGCCCGTCGCTGCAGATCCCGTGGCCCCCGCACGCCCCGCCCCCCTCGCCCGCCGCCTCCACCTGGCCCGGGCACGCGGCACACGGGGGCCCAAAGAAGCCCTCGCAGCAGTCGGTCGTCTACGTGGGGGAAGGGGGGGGGGGATTGGGGGGCACAGGTACGTGGTGTGTGCGTGCACGTGGCCTGGCACAAGCGTCGCGGTGACATCACCGCCACTTAGTGGCGGTTGTTGTTGTTGTTTGCTGAACTTGTTTTGTGGAGGCAAAGGGAGTGTGTGTGTGCGTGTGTGTGCGTGTGTGTGTGCCTGGGTATTTTGTACCATCGGACACTCCACCCCCACAACTCCCAATCGGTGATGGGGCAGTAGTGGAGAGAGTGGAAAGTGTCCCATACCTGGGCAGTGTGCTTATGACCGGCTCCAGTTTAACAGCAGAGGTCTCACTCCGAATCAGTCGAGCGGCAATATATTTTCATCGGTTGCGTAACGCTGTGTGTCGCTCCGCACGAAGCTTCAGGTCTTCTCGGTCACAGTCATTCCCTCCCTTCTCTACGCTGACCCCCCTAATGGAGCATCTTCGCCCGTTGGAAACATTTAGGCTGGCCTGCCTACGATCCATCCTGGGTTTAACCAGGCTGGATTGTGTGAGGAGCTCAAAAATCCTTGAAAGATCTGGGCAAAGTCCCATCGGTGAGCTCCTCCGGCAGGCAAGACTGCGTTGGCTGGGTCATGTAGCCCGCATGCCCAGCCACCGCATGCCTAAACAGCTTTTGTTCGGCCGGATTGAGGGGGCTAAACGGGCGCGGCACGGGCTAGAGAAGAGATGGAGTGATGTGGTACAGGAGGACGTGGAGCTGAGTGGACTTGCCGATGACTGGTACGAGCGGTGTCAAGATCGACCTCTGTGGAGGAGGCTCATGAAGGACGCTGCTACTGGGCAGTTGGAGGCAGTCATCCTCCAACAACAACAGAGTGTAGAGGAGCGACGCTCACAACAACGAGCGGAGCGCCGGGCGGCCAAAACGCAGCAAGTTGGCACAGCGGGGCGCACAGGTGATGCATCCATCGGTCATCCCAGTCGGTCAACCCATGGCACCCGGGTCTGTCCAGTAACTTCCTACTTGCAGCGAACCATCGAGACCCTCACGTGGCCTCAAAGGGCGCACCTAGCCTGGCACAAGAGCCGTGGTGACGTCACCGCCACTCAGCGCTGCTGTTGTTGTTGCTGTTGTTGTTGTTGTTGGTGGTGGTGGTGGCCACTCACGATGACGGTGCGTGCACAGTTGGAGCGGCAGCCCAGGAACATCTGCCGGCGGCCCAGGAAGTAGCGGAGGTAGATGCAGTTCGACTTGCGGCGTGGGCCCGGACCCTCCTGCACAAGAGCGGGTGAACACGTGGGTGGACAACGCGTGGGTGAAACACGTGGGTGAACCACGCGTGGGTGAATGCACCGGTGCGTGGCTGAACACGTGGGTGGACAACACGTGGGTGAACAAGTGTGGGTGAACACACCGGTGCACGGGTGAACACACGGGTGCACGGGTGAACACGTGGGTGGACAACATGTGGGTGAACAAGTGTGGGTGAATGCACCGGTGCACGGGTGAACACGTGGGTGAACGCACCAGTGCGCGGGTGAACACGTGGATGGACAACACGTGGGTGAAGATGCGTGGGTGAGCACGTGTGGGTGAACGCACCAGTGTGTGGGTGAACACATGGGTGGACACATTGGTGGACACATTGGTGAACACATGGGTGAACACATGGGTGAACAACACGTGGGTGAACAACACGTGGGTGAGCAAGTGTGGGTGAACACACGGATGAACAACAAATTGGTGAACACAGACGAGTGAACACGCGCGGGTGAATACAGATGTTCATGTGGGTGATCACGCGGGTGAACACACAGGTGTGTACGCACAAGCGAACACACACGCATGTGAACACGCACATCCGGCTCTGTACACACAGGAACACACACACGTGAATGCACAGGCACTAACAAACGAACACATGTGTTCATGTGGTTGTGCAGGTGTCACGTGCTTGTGCAGGTGTTCACGTGATTGTACAGGTGTTCACGTGGTTGTGCAGGTGTTCACGTGGTTGTGCAGGTGTTCACGTGGTAGTGCAGGTGTTCATGTGATTGTGCAGGTGTTCATGTGGTTGTGCAGGTGTTCATGTGGTTGTGCAGGTGTTCACGTGGTTGTGCAGGTGTTCATGTGGTTGTGCAGGTGTTCACGTGGTAGTGCAGGTGTTTACGTGGTTGTGCAGGTGTGCATGTGGTAGTGCAGGTGTTCACATGGTGGTACAGGTGTTCATGTGGTTGTGCAGGTGTTCACGTGGTTGTGCAGGTGTGCATGTGGTAGTGCAGGTGTGCATGTGGTAGTGCAGGTGTGCATGTGGTTGTGCAGGTGTGCATGTGGTAGTGCAGGTGTTCACGTGGTGGTACAGGTGTTCATGTGGTTGTGCAGGTGTGCATGTGGTAGTGCAGGTGTGCATGTGGTTGTGCAGGTGTTCACGTGGTTGTGCAGGTGTGCATGTGGTAGTGCAGGTGTTCACGTGGTGGTACAGGTGTTCATGTGGTAGTGCAGGTGTTCATGTGGTTGTGCAGGTGTTCATGTGGTTGTGCAGGTGTTCACGTGGTAGTGCAGGTGTTCACGTGGTGGTACAGGTGTTCATGTGGTTGTGCAGGTGTTCACGTGGTTGTGCAGGTGTTCACGTGGTGGTACAGGTGTGCATGTGGTAGTGCAGGTGTTCACGTGGTTGTGCAGGTGTTCACGTGGTTGTGCAGGTGTTCACGTGGTGGTACAGGTGTTCACGTGGTTGTGCAGGTGTTCACGTGGTGGTACAGGTGTTCATGTGGTAGTGCAGGTGTTCATGTGGTTGTGCAGGTGTTCATGTGGTTGTGCAGGTGTTCACGTGGTAGTGCAGGTGTTCACGTGGTGGTACAGGTGTTCATGTGGTTGTGCAGGTGTTCACGTGGTTGTGCAGGTGTTCACGTGGTGGTACAGGTGTGCATGTGGTAGTGCAGGTGTTCACGTGGTTGTGCAGGTGTTCACGTGGTTGTGCAGGTGTTCACGTGGTGGTACAGGTGTTCACGTGGTTCTGCAGGTGATCACGTGGTGGTACAGGTGTGCATGTGGTAGTGCAGGTGTTCACGTGGTTGTGCAGGTGTTCACGTGGTTGTGCAGGTGTTCACGTGGTTGTGCAGGTGTTCACGTGGTTGTGCAGGTGTGCATGTGGTAGTGCAGGTGTTCACGTGGTTGTACAGGTGTTCACGTGGTTGTGCAGGTGTTCACGTGGTTGTGCAGGTGTTCACGTGGTTGTACAGGTGTGCATGTGGTAGTGCAGGTGTTCACGTGGTTGTGCAGGTGTGCATGTGGTTGTGCAGGTGTTCACGTGGTTGTACAGGTGTGCATGTGGTTGTGCAGCTCACCACGGGCACCGTGCCAACAGGGCAGTCGGGCTTGAACTGGCAGCTCGAGCATTTGCTCTGAGATAGAAATACGGGGTCAGGGGTCACACGGGGTCAGGGTCACATGGGGTCAGGGGTCACGCGGGGTCGAGGTCACACGGGGTCAGGGGTCACACGGGGTAGGGTCACACGGGGTCGGGGTGACACAGGGTCAGGGTCACACGGGGTCATGTGGTCATGAGGTCAGAATCAAGTGTCAAAGTTTCAAGGTTATGAATTTCGTGTAACCAGGTGACACCAGGGATAGAATCTCCTCACGAGGGAGCGAGACGTGGGGCGTGAGTCTGCCGCCAGTAGTAGGGGGGCCCACGAGTGCCGCTCTGTGCGATCCCAACGGGGCGATGTGCGGGTAATACGGGATTGGTAAAAAGTTTCACCTTGACGAGCGAAGTGAGCGAGCGAGGGTGAGTGAGCGAGTGAGGGTGAGCGAGCGAGTGAGCGAGGGTGAGCGAGTGAGGGTGAGCGAGCGAGTGAGCGCACGAGGGTGAGCGAGTGAGGGTGAGCGCACCAGAGTGACCGTGGTCTCGTTGGTGTCACAGCGGTTGTGCAGCACGTGCAGCACGCGCGCCACTCCGTGCACCACGCCGCGGTCCGTCTCCACGTCCGCGTTGTCCACCACCACGTTGTTCACCAGCAGCTGAGAGGCAACAGCATCGTCCGGCATCGTCATCATCAGCATCGTCGTCGTCATCGTCGTCATTTTCGTCATCATCCTCGTCATTGTCGTCATCGTTATCATCGTCATCATCATCATCATCATCATCATCGTCGTCATTTTCGTCATCATCGTCATCATCGTCATCATCGTCATCGTCGTCATCATCATCGTCATCATCATCATCGTCGTCGTCATCGTCGTCATCATCGTCGTCATTTTCGTCATCATCATCTTCATCATCGTTGTTGTCATCGTCATTTTCGTCATCATCATCATCATCATGAACGTCATCATCATCATCATGAACGTCATCATCATCATCGTCATCATCGTCGTCATCGTCATCATCATCATCGTCATCATCGTCATCATGATCGTCATCATCATCGTCGTCGTCGTCATCGTCTGCGTGCTCTCCGAGTGCAGCGCCGTGCCTGCCCGTCGTGCGAGAAGAACCCCAGCTGGTAGGAGGTGCCCAGCATGGTGGGGCGGTGCATGCCGGGCCGCAGGTCACGTGACATCAGCTTCTCTCCCAGGATCACGTGGTACATCACCTGCTCGTCATTCTGCACACGCACAAGAGGCGAAGGTAACCCGTGTAGCCTCAGCAGACTTTTGGGGCAAGTGCCGTTCGCGAGCACGGCACACGACGGGTCGGCCTTGGAGAGATCCCGGGACCGGTTCAGATAATCGTCACCGGTGGTGGCCGTGAGCGGGAATCGAACTCGGGTCGCCGGGTTCGTAGCGCGGCGTAGCGCTAACCGCTGCACCACCGCTCCCCGCATTCTGCACACACACACAGACAAAGGTCCCCCACGTAGCCTTTTGCAGATTGCTGGGGCAAGTGCCGTTGGCAAGTACGACCTATGAAGACTGGCACGGCACACTTGTGAGCGGGTGGTGTGTCTTCACAGTGCTGCTGTTAACACGTCCACACACAAACACACGCACTCCACGTGGATATTCGCACACATGCACGTAGACATTCATTGCTGGAGTCTAGATTGTATGTATGTTGAACTTCTTTTGCACCGTACGTAGCCAACCGTGCTAAATCGGCGGTGCAGGGGAAGGACAACAAACTAACACAACAAGGAGTTCTAACGAAATTAGTTTTCAATCTTGATGATGGTTTAAAAGTGCGTAGCTCCCAGTGGCTTCCTGATATGGGAAGGAAGAGAGCGTTCCAGACGGCCGCAGCGGCGCATCTGAAAGCGCCACGCGATGCGGTGACCACCGTCTTTGTTCGACGGCCAGCCAAACGCCGCTGCTGTTGCGAGGATGAGCGGAGTTCGCGTGGTGATGGTTTATAGCTCCTTGACGAGGCCAGCCAGGTGATTGTGGTTCATCTGCGGCAAGCAACTCTGTGTGCGTGATGAGCGCGACCTTTAAACGAATTCGTTCGGCAAACCAGAAGCCAACGCAGCCCGGCGAGCACCGGACGGACACGGTGGGATCTTGCGGTACCCCGTCACGACGCGTGCCGGAGAATGTTGCGCACGCCGCAGATTGGCGATGCTTTTGCCAGACGTCCCGTAGAGCAGTGAGTTGCAATGATAGTGTCAGGGCTGGCGAAAGGTGTCCCGGGTAAGTGGGCTGGTGTGAAAATATGGTCAGGGCTTAAGGTTGGGGGGGTGGGGGTATGGGGGGGGGGTTGATGGGGTGGGGGGTGGGGGCTAGTGGGAGGTACCGGGTGCGTGGGTCGCTCTTTGCGGAACTGGTCCATGGCCTCCTGGCTGGGAGCGAACACTGTGTAGGCCTCGGACCGCTCGACCCGCCCGATCAGCTCGTACTCCTGGTGAGCACAGGGTGAGTGAGCACGGGGGTGAGTGGGCGAGTGGGTGAGTGACTCGGTGAGTGAATGGGTAAGTGACTTGGTGAGTGACTCAGTTAGTGAGCGGGTGAGTGGGTGGTTGAGTGAGTGAGTGGGTGAATGAGTGAGTGACTCGGTGAGTGATTGTGTGAGTGAATGAGTGAGTGGGTGAGTGAGTGAGTGAGTGGGTGGGTGAGTGAGTGAGTGAGTGGGTGGGTGAGTGGGTGGGTGTGTGCGTGATTGGGTGAGTGGATGGGTGGGTGAGTGGTTGGGTGGGTGAGTGAGTGAGTGAGTGGGTCGGTGAATGGGTGAATGAGTAAGTGGTGGGTGAGTGAGTGAGTGATTGTGTGAGTGAATGAGTGAGTGGGTGGGTGGGTGAGTGAGTGAGTGAGTGGGTGGGTGAGTGGGTGGGTGGGTGAGTGAGTGGGTGGGTGTGTGCGTGATTGGGTGAGTGGGTGTGTGTGTGCGTGATTGGGTGAGTGGATGGGTGGGTGAGTGGTTGGGTGGGTGAGTGAGTGAGTGAGTGGGTGGGTGAGTGGATGGGTGTGTGCATGATTGGGTGAGTGGATGGGTGGGTGAGTGGTTGGGTGGGTGAGTGAGTGAGTGGGTGAGTGGATGGGTGGGTGGGTGAATGGATGAGTGAGTGAGTGGATGGGTGAGTGGTTGGGTGGGTGGGTGAGTGAGTGGAGGATGGGTAGGTGAGTGAGTGGAGGGTGGGTGAGTGAGTGAGTGGGTGAGTGGATGGGTGGGTGGGTGAATGGGTGAGTGAGTGAGTGGTTGGGTGAGCGAGTGGGTGGGTGAGCGAGTGGGTGGGTGAGTGGATGGGTTTGTGGGTGAATGGGTGAGTGGGTGAGTGGGTGAGCGAGTGGATGGGTGAGCGAGTGGGTGGGTGTATGGGTGAGTGGGTGAGTGAGTGGGTGAGTGAGTGGGTGAGTGAATGGGTGAGTGGGTGGGTGAGTGAGTGGGTGAGTGGGTGAGTGAGTGAGTGAGTGGTGGGTGAGTGGTTGGGTGAGTGAGTGGGTGGGTGGGTGGGTGACCGTGAGGAGCTCCTGGAACGTGCTGTATTGAGGCATCTGTCCGAGCCGCGTGTGGAGATCGGGGAGATTCTGAATGTTGCGTGACGGCTGCACCATCTGACACGACAGCCACAACAACAACCACAACAACCACAACAACCACAACAATCACAATCACCACACAAATAACCACGTGTAGCCTGTAACAGACTGTTGGGGCAAGTGCTGTTAGCGAGTAGCTCATTGAACCATCAGGTCTCCTTTTAATTAGGACATCCAAAAAGGGTAGCTTGCCACCTTTTTCGACTTCCATGGTGAATCTGTGAGCCACTATGTCTACAAGAAAGCCACCCATACGGATGCTTACCTAAAACCGGATTCCCACCACCATCCATCCCAGAAGAATTCCCTCATCAAGACTCTATACCATAGAGCCCAATGCATCTCCGACCAGGAACACATTGCCAGTGAACTCAAACACGTACGCCAAGCTCTTAAGGCTAATGGTTACTCTGACTACACAATCCGCAAAGCCATTACTCCAACCACCAAGAAGGATCCTGTTGAGGAGCCTTTCAAGACCATCACCTTACCCTACATTGCTGGGGTCACAAAAAAAATCTCCAAAATCCTACGGCAGCTGAAGATATTTAATCTGCCAAAGACAATGATGGTGTGCTTCTATACAGCTATCATTCAGTCCATCCTCACCTCCTCCATCACCGTCTGGTACGCTGCTGCCACTGCCAAGGACAAGAGCAGACTGCAGCGTATCATCCGCACTGCTGAGAAGGTGATTGGCTGTAATCTACCAACCCTTGAGGACCTGCACACTTTGAGGACCCTGAAGCGAGCGAAGAAGATTGCGGACGATTCCTCGCACCCTGGATACTCTCTGTTCCAGCTACTCCCCTCCGGCAGAAGGCTGCGGTCCATCAAGACCAAAACCTCACGTCATAAAAACAGTTTTTTTCCCATCTGCTGTTGGCCTCCTCAACAAGGCCAAGGGCTTAAAATGACTTTTACACTTAAAATGACTGTTACACTTACTATAACATTTTATCTACATAATTACACCGTTCCATACTTACAACGTGTAATCTTATTTGTATTTTTGTATTTTAAGATTGTTTAATACGGCTAATTAACATTTTACATTCGCATTTTATAAGGTCTACTTATTCATAATTTTAAAGATTTTAGCCCTTTGGTATTACTTATACTTTGTAACGTTAGTATAGTTAGAGTGTATACCTTTTATATAAGTTAAGATTCCTACTTGTTCAATGTATGCACCGTCCCGCCATAGTGAATTCCTTGTTTGTGCAAACTTACATGGCGATTAAAACCGTTTCTGATTCTGATAAAACACAAGATCCAGGTCCGATTCAACACAGTACATAAAATCCGTGATCTGGTCCCATCTGTAAAAGATGTGGTTCCAGACATACAGTACCCTGGCGTCTACAAACTAAGTTGCCTCTGTGGTAGCAGTTACATTGGAGAAACCAAACGACATGTCTCGGACCGCATCCGTGAACATAAAGCAGACCTGAAACACGGTAGGACAAACACCTCAGCCGTGGCAGATCACTGTTACAATTCAGTGGGCTCACATGATATTGACTTCTCCAAGGCAGAGGTTCTCTGCAAGCCATCTGGCTACCATGAGAGATTCGTTCATGAGGCGATCCACATATACAAACACAGAGACAATTTCAACCGAGAAGATGGATTCTGGCTCAGCAATCATTGGAAGGACGTAATAAACCATTTCGGATCTTAACTGATTGTGTTCACGTTTACGGTGACTTTCAGACCGCGTTCCACTCACTGGCATTGACTATATATCTTTTATTCTCCGCAGGGAATGGATTCTTTGCTCCGATGCAAGTCTCCTACTACCACTCTCCCATTGACATATTTCGTTGCTTCCTCTTAGTATCTTTCACGCGACGGTCAATGGTACAGTGTATAGCGGATTGTATAATAATAAATAGTATAAAATTGTAATGTTTAATGCAATGTACAAAGTAATATATAGTATCGTTATTGTATAGTGAATATACAGCAGTGTGATATACATTAGGGTGGATAGAATAATACATAGTGTAATATTACAATGGTGTATAGTAATACAGTATATAATTTAATGTTGGGTTTGTCTATGGCAGTATATAGTACGGTGTAGACTCGTGTGATGTAAGAGAATAAAGTTTAGCTGGAAGCATATTATATTTTTTGCGACATAGAATTGTAATGTATTACTTACTGTTAGTAGCTCAGCTTATTGGAGAGTATATTAGTATACTGATGATACTATGTAGTTTATACTTTAGTTGTTTACGTGGTGGTTTAGTTATTGCAGCTACATACTATCAACATTCCTTCCCTTTATTAATGTTACCTCTATCCCCTCCCTTTGATGCTGCTAATCCTGCATAATGCACGGACTTTAAACCCCCCGCCAAACCTCCTACGCTAATCGCATATCTGCATTTCCCATAAATATGCTAAATTCATCTTGATATGCAAATTATTTTGTCAAGGCGCCCTTCCCCCCTCCATCCCAGCTTAAATAGTCGCTCCAAGCCTGGAGTGTGTCATTCAGACTCTGTCTTCTCGACAGACCTGTTCTTCACCTGAGGACGGCTGCTTGCGTTGTGGCCGACACGTCATGAGAATTATTTTATTATGTTTTATTTTTATTATTTTTATTATTTCCATTCTACGTGACTTTACCGAAAGAACCAAGAAGATGAATCCCTGCAGTCACGAAAGCTTTAAATCGAAATGTAGGTGGTTAGCGTAGGTGGTGAGTGTAAGTGGTGAGTTCAGGTGCTGAACGGGATGCTCACCCGGTCGATGACGTGGACGATGCCGTTCGACGCCATCACATCAGAAGCCACCACCATCGCATCCCCGATGGTCAAATTCTGCGACGGGAGAACACACGGCGCTCGCATCACAGTGACGGTGACGAGTCCTAGGGCTCGTGTTCAGGAGGGTCCTGCCGCTCCTGCCGCTACACTGGAGGCGTTCATCCGTCAGATGTTTTCAGCTCAACGAATGACGAGTCGTACGGATATCATTAGGGGCCGTCCATAAATGACGGCACGCGATTTTGGACGATTTTTGACCCCCCCCCCCCACCTCGTCACACGGCGTCACAAAAAGTCAGACCCCCCCCTCAAATATGACGTCACAAAGCTCTGCCCCCCCCCAAAAAATATAAAACATGCTTCAAATCGCTTTAAACTATTGTCATTGTAGTGCGTATTTAATGTGGCGCTGCACTCTGATGTTGTAGGAGAAAACATTTATTAAAAAGTATATTTAATTAAGTAGAACGTCTCCATTTAAAGCTTTCGTGACTGCAGGGATTAATCTTCTTGGTTCTTTCGGTAAAGTCACGTAGAAGGGAAATAATAAAATAATAATAAATAAAACATAATAAAATTATTCTCACGACGTTGTCTTTCCGACAGACCTGGTCTTCACCTGAGGACGGCTGCTTGCGTTGTGGCCGAAACGTCGTGAGAATTATTTTATTTAGTTTTATTTTTATTATTTTATTATTTCCCTTCTACGTGACTTTACCGAAAGAACCAAGAAGATAAGTATCACGTGTTGTTTATATTTATTTAAAGTTGCACATTTTGATGTGACGTCACATTTCTCACCCTCCCCCCCTCGTCACACTTCGTCAGATATGTCTGACCCCCCCCCCATGTGCGTGACGTCATTTATGGACGGCCCCTAATTATTGTCGTCGTCGTCGTTGTCGTTCACGTGGGGGAGAAAACCGGAGCACCCGCAGAAAACCTCCCGCGCCTTGCGCGAGGGAGCAACACTCTATCCCCGTCCAGATGGGACAGATGGAGATTAGTCCACACCGTGCCGTGACGCCTTCTCCTGGCCGAGCCAGGGCTACGGCTCCTCCTGGACGCCCACCCACGGATGGAAGAAGAAGTAGAAGCGAGTTTCACAACGCCGTCTTTGTGTGATCTACCAACCCTCGCGGCCACGTGCAGCAGCGTAGCCACCGCCGCCAGCACTGCGTGGCTCAAGGCATTTATGAGGACTGAGACAAAGACCCCCCCCCCCACCCCCTCACAGTCTACACAGGCTGTTGGGGCAAGTGCCGTTAGTCAGTAGCACCTATGAAGGCCGGAATGGCGTACGAAGGGGTGTTGTGGTCCGCCCATGCAAATCTGGCTGTGACGGTCCCACCTGATGACGGAGACTTGTGTTGCCTCCGAAACGTCGTGATTTTTTATTTTTTTTTATTTAATTTTTTACCTACGTGACGTTACCGAAAGAACTAAGAATATGATGTTTACATGGCCAGGGAAGGCACAGAATCGGTTGCGATGATCGCCGTTGATGTTAGCCGTGAGCGCGAATCGAACTCGGGTCGCCTCCGTGTAGCCTTCTAACGCACGCCCGGTGGTCGTGGGTGGCGTACGCATGCACACCACGCACACACGTCGGGCTGAGAGTCAGAGATGAACTTCGGTCGGGTCTGTCCGGGTCAGCCACCCAGCACACCACATCCAGTATATCTCTCACTATAGCCACGGCTGCCGGCTGTCACGTGCCACATATGGGGCGCCACGGTGGCTAAGAGATGTTAACTGCTGCTGTATATTTGGAGTTTGCGTGTCTCTCTCTCTCATTATCATCACGGTGGCTCGGAGATGTTAACTACCTCGCCTGGTGTACAGGAGGTCGTGGGTTCGACCCCGACCCTGACGCCTGCTGTGTATGTGGAGTTTGCGTGTTTCTCTCTCTCATCATCATCACGGTGGCTAGGAGATGTTAACTACCTCGCCTGGTACACAGGAGGTCGTGGGTTCGACCCCGACCCTGACGCCTGCTGCTGTATATTTGGAGTTTGCGTGTCTCTCTCTCTCATTATCATCACGGTGGCTAGGAGATGTTAACTACCTCGCCTGGTACACAGGAGGTCGTGGGTTCAATCCCAACCCTGACGCATGCTGCTGTATGTGGAGTTTGCGTGTTTCTCTCTCTCATCATCATCACGGTGGCTCGGAGATGTTAACTACCTCGCCTGGTGTACAGGAGGTCGTGGGTTCAATCCCAACCCTGCACACATATATTTGGAGTTTGCATGTTCCCCTCCGTGGTCTTCAGGATTTTTCTCCGGGTCTCCAGTTTTTTACACGCTTTTAGAGTATTTGGCTGCTATAAACGTACACATTACGTCGCTTCGCTGAGCTATCGCTTGTGGGCCAGGTCGCTTCTGAAAATAACTTACATAGCTCGGTGGGCCTTAAACGGTAAATAAACACAAAATTGTAAGTCCTTAACTCTACGGTCCACTGCCAACGGCACAGGAAAATACCGCTCTGGCCGAAGGGGTCAGAGGTCAGGGGTCAGGGCTCGGTTGGTCGGGGTGGTAAGAGTCGGGGTGGGGGGGGGCTAGGGCGGAACCGTGCGGGACTCTGGCCGATGAGGAGCGTGGTGCCGGGCTGCAGCGTGGGCAGCCGAGGTGCTGCCCCGCGACTCCAACTCCTGCAGGGAGAACCTGCCGGGCAGCACGTGCATCCTGCACGCCGCGCGTGGGGGAGGGCAAAGGCAAAGGTCCAAGATCCTCGCCCCTCCCCCCCGCCCCTTCCCCGCGTAAGCGTTTAACCGCAACGTTGGGGCGAGTGGGTGGTGTGGCCCAAAGCCATGTCCTGGGGCCGCCTTTGTCTCCCTTCCCAGTGGTGATGTTTTTTCCACAATGCATCAGGTACAAATTTAAGGGCTGAGTCGACCTAGGTGAGGCCCAGAGACACGTTACGATAGTCGCCAGCGATTTGGACGTTGGTCGCGCAGCGCAGGGTTAACCACTTCCACACAAAGAGAAAGATCTCCCGCCCCACCATTGGAACCTCATTTGCCAGTAAAATATACGATAATTGTTTTTTTTACACCCTTCTAATCTGGCAACAAAACTACACCTTTTTTTACAAGGAAGTCATGTTTGCATAGACCACAATACCTGCAGTCATAATGCAAACCAAAAATCACAAACTCTAGATAATGTATGCACTGGGTAAAAAACGAATTATCATCTCCCGCCCCGTGTAGCGTTTAACGGTGGCGTGTGTGTGTGGGGGGGGGCGGCAGAGCCGGTGCATCTGCCGGTCATCTCAGTCAGTCAACCCCATGGCACCGCGTGGGTCTCTCCCGTGACCTCTCCTGCAGCGAGCCTTCGACACTTCACGTGGCCTGGCGCATGCGTCGTGGTGACGTCACTGGCCACTTAGCGGGGAATGGCGGGTGTCGGTGTCGGGGCGGTGTGGCCGGCTCACTTGACCGCGCTGGCCGCCTCGCGCTCGCCGCTCCACGTCACGTTGGCGATGACGCTGGCGGCGGGCACCAGCACGGTGAAGTTCCCGGAGGCCAGGGTCTCCCTGAGCGAGGCCCTCTGTGGGCCCACACGCAGACACGGCGAGGCCGCACGGTTGGCCACGTACGTCAAGGCTGTAGCCGTGGAGTCAACGTTGGGGGGGACCAAATCGTCCAGGGGGTGTGGGGGTCCCAACCCAGAAAAAATATCTGAATTTTAAAAATAATTTCCTGCCTAAAATATAAAAAAAAATTCACAAACACATGGGATGGATTATTTATTTATTTTTTACAATAATGTGTAATAGTGTATTGTAGTACATTGCTTTGTTTTAACTTTTTTCACCATTTCTTGCGTCATTGTATGTAATGGCAGAGGATTAGGGCTTAATCAAATACAACCATCACCACAATCATATAAAACAGAAATCTACGCATTGATTTATATGAAGACAAGTCCAGATATTGTGGCAAAGGTTGAGCAAACTGTTGTTTTTATTTACATAGCATAGCAATTTTTTACAGCAATATATGGGGGGGGGGGGGGCATTTTGAGCATATTTGAAATTGGGGGGGGGGGATGTGCCCCCCCCAATATTTATTATATTACGGCCTTGTACGTACCATTATGGGAGGGCTCAACGTGGACACACGGAAAGCCGGAGGCCCCTCCCCCTTAACCCTCCCTCCCTTCCTTGGCCCT